AATGGTTGAATGTGAAACTGATGATGTGCCCTGTAAACTTTCACTCAATCCAAAATAAAAACATTTAATAAAAAAAAAAATTACAATCAAAATAGTTTTACTGAATGTAAATTAAGATTTTTTCGTTTGTAGACAAAATATAGACTGAAATACAAGCTTGCAGTAAAAGTGGCTATGTGTAAGCACAATGAAGATGTTCCATAAAATATCTGGTGTCCACATCTTTTATAGTCCTTGAGACCTTGAATTTAACAGATTTTACTTTCAAAGATGGATTGTGCTATATGGCAAAAGCTTACTTTTAAGAAATGGAGAGTATGATGTGGAGTATTTCCCAGTTACATGACTTCTTTTTAAGTAGAGCTTTCTAGTTGTTGAAATTAAGAGGAAGTCAGAGAGACTAGAAACAAGAGAGGGATCTGATGAAATATTGTTGGCATGAAGGTAGAGTGGGATACTCTAGAGATTCTAGATTACAACTAGGACCAATGAACATCTTGATTTTAGTCTGTGAGATCCTTAGCAGAGAACTCATATACTATGTGCTGAACTTTTGAAATAAAAACTATGTAGCAATATGTTTGTGAATCTATGTTCATAAAAATTTGTTGTATAGAAAAATAAAAAAAAAATAAGTGTACATATTTTAGAAAAGAGATAAACTACAGACATCTCTGTAAAGGTCTGATACTCACTTCATGCAATTCAGGTTAGTCTAATATATGAAATTTATGAAACATGGGGTCAAAAAGAGGACCCTAGACATCATTCTAGAGCAAGAATCAGGAAGAATAAATGCTAAGGGATGTACCATAAGTTTTTTGTGGAACTCATGATTTTCATCCTTGAATGAGTGCTCCAGGAAGATTGCAATGGATTCTTTTTCACAGGTTGCATGGATATCCAGCAGCTCCTGAAGCGTCTCTGTGGGAAACCTCACACGCTGGGCCATCTGCTGACTGTAGTGGTCAGTTGCCTTCTGCACAGCTACCAAGTTCTCATGCTGGGCCAGGGTTGTTACCGCATTCTCCAAACAAGGCACCGCTCCACTGTTGATGGCATCCACATAGGTCTTCACCAGAGTTCCCAGTCCTGAAGAAGCCAGTAAATTTAGAGATAAATATCAAGTTCTCACTTACTATAAAAGATTAGTCACAAGCATTCTAAATTTAACTAGAACTTTTCTTCTTTTTCTTCTAATTTTATTTTCTAATGAATCCATTTCCTTAGAGTAACATCACTTTGATTCCAAATTTATTCTTTTCTATGATTCTCCATTTCATTACCATAAAAAATTGGATTACTGATCACAACCACTATCTTTTCCAGGGTTTCTAGAAAAAAGAAAATCAACTTTCTCATTCAAATGAAATAAGATGTATTTATTAAATAAGTAGTTATATAATTTGTGAGGTCAGTTCCAAAAGAAAATACTAGTTCCTTATAAACAAACAAACAAAAAAAAGCAAAAAATCAATGTCAAGATAGAAAAACAGAGAATTAATCCAAATATGAACCAATCTCAGGACAGACGTTGCACAACTGCACAGGACAGATACTTATGAAGTCAGCCCTTACCTACTGCCATCAAGTAGATTGTTACTCATAGTGATCTTCTGTAGGATTTCCAAGGCTGTAAACTTTATGGGAGCAGAAAGAATCATCTTTTTCGCGTGGAAGAGCTGCTAGAGTCGAACTTCTAAGCTATGGTCAACAGCCCTATGCTTTGATTATATTTAATTTGTTTTTCAAAATCTCAGTGGATTTGTAGGGATTCATGACTTGTTTTGCACTTTATGACTTGGATAATTTTTTAAAGTATGTTTTCTACATTGAGAAGCATTTATCATATTGGATTTGTCCATGATATTTTCTCCTTTCCAAAAGTTGGTGCCTACATATTAATGTATTAATTTCTTGAGATATATTTGACCTCAATAAATCCTCATGTGGAGAGAATAATTTTTAAATGTGAATTACTATGTGTGGCATGTGCATCTCCTCCTGCATATTCACATGCAGAAGAAAACAAAATTACTGATAAACCCACAGAACAATCACAGCAACACTCCAGACATTGATTCATAGAGAGACATGCTGTACAGCAGAGGTGACTCACGGTTCCCAGTGACAATGATTCCCTGTCTCAGGGTCTTGGTCTTTGCTTCACTGAAGATATAAAAACAGAATTTTTCTGCTTGCACCAGGAAATTACAATCTAGCAGCTCATCTGGCACTTCTTCAATGTGGGCCAAATGAATTTTGTCATTTGTAGGACGATCAAACACAAAGCACTTCCTTCTTGGGAAGAAATGTCTGATACATTCTCTAGACCGGTTAGAATTTTCAATTTGGGGATTTCTGCCTGTGGAAGTGGAAAGAGAGCAATCATTGAAGGCACAACATTCAGGAAAGGGATCTGTCAACTTTTCTTATCAGAGATCTTTGCATCATGGAGTCTCTATATTTTAGTCTCCTTTTATTGAGTCATATAAGTACACTTTAAACCAATGTACAATTTTTTAAAAAATCCATTATTGGACTGACCAAGGAAGAAGCTATAGATAGGAACTGAACTACCAATCTCAACTAAACAAACTTATCTTGGGCTTCCTCAACCTTTGTATGGAGTTCAGTAAAGTAAGTATTTAACAATTGTTTATGGAATAATTGATGTAAGAAAAGAAATGTTCAGAAGTACTTTTCTCATATTACTGTCTTCATGTCAGAAATAAAATATGGATTAAAAAAAATGTAATACTTGATAGATGAGTTAGTTAAAATAGCATGAGATGAGGTCAGTAGAGAAAAAAGAAAAATTCAGAACCTCAAAATATGGATACTTTTAGCAAAGACAATTACACACAGTATAAATAGTTTAGAGATTCTGTTATGAAATACCTCCACTGAGTAGAATTAACCTATGTGTAATTGTGAGACACCACCTCTTTATATTTATATTATAGCAATCCTGCATAGAGTTTACAAGGAGCAGCTGTGTAAGTAGAAGGAAATTGGATTCTGAAGGATACTCACCTCTGTTGTATCAGCTTCATTGCGTTAAATAGATCAAAGCCTGTTTTTACCGCCTTTCCTCCGCCTCCCCCACTCCCACCCCCACATACACACACTCTTTTTGCTGTTAACATCTACATGGTCAAACTGCAAGGAAACCATTAAAGCTGAGGGGTGAACCCTGGCTGGACATCTGGTTGGTAATCTCTTCCAGCTGTACCCCCTATTTCCACACACCAGCCACACACTACCCAAATAAGGTTCAGACCTGGTATCTTAGGCTGGGATTCTAGATCATCAGCAGGCCTACCCCTCACAAGGAGGGAACTACACTCATACTAAGTTTTTTTTCAGAAGGGGTGCCTTACTTCTACCCCCAGTCCAGTGTCAGGCCGGTGTTCCGTCCTCTTCCGCATGTCTGAGACCACCAGCAACTGCCATCCCCTTCCAAATTTGCGTCCCTGCCGTTTTAAAAGCTCCTTATTTGGTCCTGCTGTAGCGCTGTAGGTTAATGTGCCACACTGCAAAGCCATTGAACTGCAAGGTCAGTGGTTCAAGTTCACCAGCTGCTTCTCGGAAACCCAATACAGGGTCGCTATGGGTCGTAACCGACTCAATGGCACTTAACAACAACAACAACATTTTAAACGTTTATACTTTGTCCAGGCTGTGGTGCTTCGTATGGGGATGGGGTTAAAGTGTCCATTTGTATTTATGTATTAACTCATCAATAAATAATCATTTAATTAAAAAAAAAAAAAAGACCATCTCATTATATTGAACATGACTGTGTCTTGCAGAAAGATTCTGTGGTAGAATCAGCTGTTTAGTAAGTGTTTGGTAAAGAAATTAATAAATTAAAAGGGATATTCCTTCCAATGCTATAAATTAGCTAGCCCTCAAAATATAATCCATAATAAAATCTCATGATATTAAAACTATTACATATTATATAAGGATGTGGAATAATGTGTGTGATATTTTAAAGAAGATCAAGGCTTTGGGAATCTTCCTGAAAGAATATTTCAATGTTTCATTGTGGAATTTTTATCATATAATAAATCTAAAAGAGCACGAGCCTTTGTAAGTCAGAAAACTGTCAGAGAAGGAAAACTCAAATAATGTTCACTAAAACAAGCAATAGAAAAATAGTAAGAGTACATTTTATCAAAAGCAAAAAACCTGCAAGAGCCAAAAAAGCAAGGTAGTCTCATGTAGTTTTGAATTTCATAGCTTTCACTGTAAAAATACGTTTTCTCTGAGGGAGTTAACTATCTAGAATAGTAAAATGTGTTGTTGCTGTTGTTGTGTGCCATCGAGGTCATTTAAACTAATAAATTTTATGAAAAAATAGAAGTGCCCCCCCAATCACCATGACTCCTTTAGTAAAGCACATGAGAAATGCTTTTAAAGTTGTTATGTTGTTGTTGTTGTTAAGTGCCGTCGAGTCGGTTCTGACCCATAGCGACCCTGTACCAGGGTTTCCGAGGGTGTAAATCCTTATGGGAGTAGAAAGCCTCATCTTTCTCCCGCGGAGCGCCTGGTAGTTTCGCACTGCTGACCTTAAGGTTCGCAGCCCGATTCGTAACCACTACGCTACGATATCATTATTCTATGTATAACAACTTCCAGTTCATGGACTCTTTTTTCAAAGAAAAGAAGGAACAGAAATATGTGGGCTTTAAGAAGTTATAGCAGTGATTGCAATCTGATTTTTTTCATGGTACCTATTATACTGTAATCATCTGCTCCAACCGGGAGTCCTAAATTTCCACAGAGAATTAAAATGCTAGTCACTGGATGTTTTCAGGTAGTAATAGCCCCCAAATAATCATATTCTCCTCACAACCACCTTTTTTCTGGGACTCAGTCTAATCTCAAGTATATACTGACTTCATGAGCTGAATGACATGGTTCAGTTGATATCACTTCCTGCTGACCCATCCACCACCTAAGCCATGATACCTGGAATCAGCTTCAAGGCATTCTCCAGGTATTCATCCTCAGTGATAGTGCATTCATCTAGCTTCAACTCCAAGGTGAAATCTCGAACGGTCCAAACAAAGTCTGGGAAGAAACTCACAAATTCGGTGGAGTCTTCTATTTCATCTGATTTAGAGGGGGATTTTGCCTTGATTAGCTCTGTCAGTTCAGTCACATAGCTGGTAATTTAGCTAAGGATGAAGCACTGGACATCACAATGATAAAATCTTACTTAGAAATAACTTTCATAAACATTCAATTTTACCCACTGTTCCTTCCTCCTGACTTTTGGGACAACTGAGTCAGATGAGGAAGGAAATAGTCTTAGTTTCCATTCCCATAAAGCTTAGTAAACCTGGTGGTTGGGTTCCTGAAAGGATACTGCAGCTGCTCCAAGGCCTGGTGGTTGATGGTACACATGCTGTTGTAGACAAAGGTGCTGCTCAGAAGTACAGCCAGGGCAAAGATCCATGAGTCATTCTTAGGGTCACCCTAGAAAGTGCATTAGAACAAGAGACTCAGGAGTCTATTCTTTAAGCATTGATTTTTTTGAGTATTCACAGTCTCAATTATACTATAGCTGAATTAGGAATATAAAGTAAATTCTGAAAATAATTCTAAATTCAAACTTCTTATTTTGTATTTACATTGACCCCTTTCTATGCATAATCAAAAATGCATAAGTAAACATCTTTCTGGAATGCTCTGCTTTCAACCAAAAACCAACTGACATCAGCAATAATCTCTTTCATCCCATGCTTTCTTCAGAATGCAACCTGAATTCCTGGTAGTTCTCCATCATTGTATAGCTTCAACCATTTTTTAATTATCTTAAGCAGACTTTTAATTTTATGTGATATTAATGATATTGTTAGATGATTTATGCACTCTATTGGGTCAATTTTCTTAGAGATGTTCATAAATATTGATTTCTTCCAATTAATTGGCCAGGTAGTTGTCTTTCAAATTTCCAGTGAGTACCTCAAGAGTTACACCAGTTTGTTAAAACATGTTAATTTTGTTCTGTGGATCCCTGGAAGTTGGTTGTTTGCCTGTGCCTTAAGTGCAACCTGGGTTTCTTCCTTTGATATCAGTTTAAGCTACCATTTTAAATTATTGAACATCAATGAATTCTTTTTGATACAGTGACTTTGTGTTTTCCTTCCATCTTCTTTTGATGCTTCCTGCTTCATTCAATATTTTGCCCATATTGGTTTTGTGAAGTGCCATACATTTCGAACTATCAGTGCTGTGGTTGAAACTGACCTTGCAGTCCATTGCTTATCCTACAGAGTTTCACAAGGATTCCCAAAATTTGAATAATAGTGGAGGTATTAACTGTTCTTTCCTTGAGGCATAAGGATATTATCCTATCACAGGCAACATTCTACTTCAAGAGAGATCTTGAAATACTGTTTTTGTCCATGAATGTGGCACCATTCCTTTTCATATAATAGAGTCCTGGTGTCTTGTTGTGGATTAATGCGCTACACTACAAATTAAGTTTGAACTACAAGGTAAACAGTTCAGACTCACCAGCCGCTCCTTGGAAACCCTATACTGGGTTTCTATAGTTGGAACTGAATTAACAGCACACAAGAACAACAACAACATAATATACTATATGTTTCTCTGATTCAAAATAACCAATGCCAGCCCTCTTCATCTCACTAATGGCTAAGAAATAATTCTTTGTGGGTTTAGGTCACTTTTTAAAAGTTTTTATTGTGAATTGGATGATAGTTTGTGTGGGAGAACATCAGCTTTACAGTCATCCTATTGTATTCTATTTCATTGCAATGATTACAATTCCCTCCATGCATCATCATTGAACAGCATTTGCTTCCATTCTCTCTGTTTTTTGTTTTTTTTTGGATGTACACCGAAGCACTCAGGAATATACAACCATTTAAACAACCAAAGGGCACACCCCGCAAGCCCGCAACCTGACCATCAGCACATGGCCCCTCTGCCTCCCTGAGTCCAGGACCCCCAGCCGCTCCACCTCCCCACATCATCATCTCTGCCTCCATCTCTTGTGTCACTGCTTCTCTGGATAGGGTCCCTCACTCCGCTCTAGTCCTTTGATTGCCCCAGGGTCCTCTGATCAACCACTCCCTTCCTTTTGTTATAAAATGTTTCCCTTTACATTTGCAACACTCACAGTCAGTCATGATAGCAATTATTCACTACTGAACCACAAGTCTTAACCCCATCTCCTTTCACCAACCCCGTCCAGACAGGTTGGAAACCACTCAGTGGAGACTCTACTTTCCCTCGTAACTTCTGAAACTAGTCTCACTCTTGAAAGCTTGTAAACCAGTCACTTCATGCCTTTGTAGTCTCCCCATTTTGGGTAGCCAGTGTCTAAGTTGCCCATCCCTGTCAACAATGTGTACTGAGGAGGTGGGAATGATCCTTGCTGTGAAGATCCATTCCCTCTTTTAAGCTACTACATCTACAAATATAGGTCAAGTTCATCAAATTGTAGTGGATTACTTTTTTTTCCCCTCTTCTTTCTTCCTCTAGTCCAGTTCTGATCATCCAGCCATTAGAGCCAGGCCAAATGGGTGTTATCTGCAAGTATGGATATTATTGTGCATCTCCCCTCACTTCATATCAGCCAGACCCTTCACTTTCCACTCTAGTCCTCTGTGGCCATGTTCCTGTCCCTGGACCCAGGAATCCCCAGGTCTCACCATACTGCTGGCCAACCAGGTCTCAATCCAGGTGGACAGCAGTCTGTTGAACGTGGTCAGACTTAGCTCACAACTTAATTGCTGTTTTTCCCCCACTTCCGCTTATCAGTAGACCACCATGGTCATCAGCAAGACCATATGCCTGCTCGTGTTGAGTCTCAGTCTTGGAAATGGGTTTGCCCTGAGGGGACCCAACCACTTGCCCTTATGGCTCCTCAGTGAACAACTTGCTTGTTCTTGCAGTAGTCAATCACACTGCCATTATTGTTTTTTATTTTTCCCGCTGGTCTTTCTTTCAAGAAGTATCTTCTGTTCTTCTAGCTGCTCCAGGCTGGTCTGCTTGTCCTTTCAAGTGGAAATTTCTCACCTAGGAACATTTTGGATGAGGATCCAGATTCCACCTATGGTCTTATGCAATGCAAAGGCACTGTAGGCAACCTCCATTCCTGGGCTAGTTTTAGCCCCATTTTAGGTATTCCAATCAGTTATAGGTTGAAGACAGACTTACAAGCTTTCTGTGGTGATGCTTTTGGCTATACCTTTCTCTCCCCCTCAATTGTTAATTTTACTGTAACAGGCAAGGGAAACCAAGATTCAAAAGACAGCCAAGCATCTTAACATTATTCTCCTCTTTTACCTATTCAAACCATGCTTCAATTCCTGTATCCCAGAGCCCTGTTGTTCCAAGGTTGAGCATACATCACTATTGACCTCTGTTCCACTTAGCCCATGCAAATCTGCCTACATGTTCTGCTATCTACCTTGTTTTTCCATTCCCTTGCCCCTTTTAGTGTATTGCTCCCCCCAGCACCCAAAGTATCTTGTATCTATTCTCTACCTTGCCCTTCACCTTTTCCTTCTTCCCCTCATCCTACCCCCTACACCCCAGTAACCAAGAAAGAACTTTCCCCCTCTTTTAGTGTGGGTACTTTTTCTTAATCTTTTACAATAATGTCCTATGCAGTATTTCTACTTTTGTGGCTGACTTCACTCAGCATAATGTCTGCAAGGTTCATCCATGTTATGCGGTGATGGGCATATAGAATGCTTTATTTTGAGTTATGTGATAGTTTACATGGGAGAACATTAGCTTTACATTGATCCTATCGTATATCATTTCCTTGCCATCCCCTCCATGTATTATCCACCAACAACAGGGTACACCCGGCAAGCCTGTCCCATGGTCGGTAGCACACATGCCCTTTCCATCTCTGGGTCCAAAGTACCCAGCCTCTCCATCTCTCTGCATCATCGGCTCTGCCTCCATCTCTGGCATCACTGCTTCTCTTGGTAGGGTTCCATTCTCTGCTCTTCTCCCTTGATGGTCCCAGAGACCTCTTCCCCTAGACTGCACAGTTAATCCCTTCCCTCTCTTTGCTACAAAACATCTACCTTTACAATTCCAGCCCTTACAATCAGTCCTGATAACAATTATTCACCATTGTATTGTAAGAGACCTAGCCACATTTTTCCTCAGCCCCACCTAGACAGATTGAATACTACTCAGTGGAGATTCTACCTTGCTCCATGCCCTCTGGATCTAAGTTCCCTCTTGAAAGCTTGTAAGCCAGTCAGTTTTTGCCCCTGTAACCCCCGCATTCTGGGTAGCCAATGTCCAAGTTGCCCATCCCTGTCCTTTCCATGTGTGGAGGGGTGGGAGTGATCCTCGCTGTGAAGATTTGTTTCCTCTTTTGAGCTACTGCATCCGTAGGTGTAGGTCAAGTTCATCAAATTGTATAAAATTATTCTTTTTTCCCTCTTCTTTCTTCTTCTGGTTGAGCCCTGATCACCCAGTCATTGAAGCCAGGTCAAGTGGGTATTATCTGCAAGTGTGGGTGTACTTACGCTTGTGCCCTCTCTTCTTATCAACTGGACACTTCACTCCCCACTCTAGTCCTCTGTGGCTATGTCACTGACTCTGGACCCAAGAGTCCCCTGGTCTTGCCACACTGCTGGCCAGCCATATCTCCAGCTGGGTTCACAGGAGTCTATTGAACATTGTAGGGCTTAGCTCGCAGCTTCATTGCAGCTTTTCCCACACTTCCCCTTATTGGTGACGAACATGGACACCAATCAGAGCATGTATTCCCACTGGGTCTTAGTCTTCAAAGGAGGTTTGCCCTGAGGGTACTTGCCTTGATGTCTCCTGGCTGAGCCACTTATTTGTTCTTGTAGTAATCAGTCAATATGCCTGTATTGTTTTGTGCTTTTCTTGTCAGTCTTTTTTTCAGGAAGTATCTTCTGTTCTTCTGTCCACTCCAGGCTGGTCTGCATGTCCTTTCAAGTGGAAATTTACCCTCAGAAGATTCTGGAAGCTGTTCAGGAATCCACTAATGGTCTTGTGTAATACAGAGACTCTGCAGGAAGCCTCCTTCACTGGGCACCCTGTAGCCCCCTTTTAGGTATTCTAATCAGTTATAGGCAGAAGACGGACTTACAAGCTTTCTATGGTGATATTTCTGGCTGATATTCCTTTCTCTTCCCCCTCAAGTGTCTATTTTATAGTGGTATGCCAGGGAAACCAAGATTCAAAAGATAGCCAAGCATCTTAACATTGTCTTCCCCCTTTTCCCCATTCCAACCATGTCTCAATCTCTGTATCTCATAACCTTGTTGTTCCAGGGTTATGCATATATCATTATTTGCCTGTGTCCCATTTCAGCTTCACATTCATCCTATCATATTACATTTAATTGCAATGATTACAATCCCCTCTATGCATCATCAAATAACCAAAGGATAAATCCCACAGGCCCGCCCCCCTCCCCCTCCAGCTGTCAGCAAACAGCTCCT